AACTATCTGAGGTACATCACAGAAAATAGAGAAGTAAAAGTAAAATGAGAGTAGCCAAAATTATTTAAATGGATGCTGGAAGAATATTACAAAGAACAAATGAAACAATATGGTTGTTTGAAAATGTACAAATGTTAGACAGTGCTTAATGTTACCAACCTTAGACAAATTCAGCTTTAGGATGGTTCAATATACGTAAGTCAATAAATGTCATAAATCATATAAAGGGGTTCAAAGACAAGAACCGCATGGTCGTCTCAATAGATGCAGAGAAGGCCTTTGGCAAAATTCAACATGGATTTATGTTCAAAGTCCTAGAGGGAATCAGACTGGAGGGAACATACCTCAACATAATTAAAGCCATATATAACAAACCCACAGCCAACACCATTCTAAATGGAGAAAAACTGGAAGCATTCCCATTGAAATCAGGAACCAGACAAGGCTGTCCACTATCTCCACTTCTCTTTAACATAGTGCTTGAAACTCTTGCAAGAGCAATAAGACAAGAGCAGGAAATTAAAGGAGTAATAATTGGAAGAGATCAAATTATCCCTTTTTGCAGATAATATGATATTATATCTAAGGGATGCCAAAAATTCCACCTGAAAACTCCTATAAATTATTAACATGTTCAGTAAAGTGGTAGGTTACAAAAAACCTACAAAAGTCTATAGCCTTTCTACATACCAATAACATGCATTCAGAGAAAGAGCACATTGAAACACTCCCCTTCACAATAGCTGCAAAAAATAAAAAAATAAAAAAATCTTGGAATAAACCTGACCAAAGACATTAAAGAGCTCTACAATGAAAATTTTAAATCTTTAAAGAAAGAGATTGAGGAAGACATCAGACGATGGAAGGACCTCCCATGCTCATGGATTGGAAGAATTAATATTGTGAAAATGACCATCCTACCAAGTCATGTATAGATTCAATGCAATACCAATCAAAATCCCCATGACATTTTCCACAGAATTGGAAAAAAACTATCCTGTGATTCATATAGAAGCACAAAAGACCTCAGATAGAAAAAACAATGCTGATCACAAAGAGCAATACTGGGGTGATTACTATACCAGGTTTCAAGCTGTATTACAGAGCTATAGTCATAAAAACAACATGGTACTGGCACAAAAATAGAC